GCTTTGGCTATTCTGGGTTTTTGTGGTTCTACATAAATTTTAGGATTGTTTTTCCTATTTCCATGACTAATGTCATTGGTATATTGATAGAGGTTACATTGAATCTGTAGATTGCTTTAGGTTGTATGGACATTTTAACAATATTGATTCTTCCAGTCCATGAACATAAATGAATTATCTTTCCATTTTTTTGGTGTGTTGCTTCAATTTCTTTCACCTATGATGGTTTTTATTTTAGAGAACTTTTACTTATTTGGTTAATTCCTAGGTATTTAATTATATTTGTAGCTGTTGTGAATGGGATTACTTTCTTGATTTCTTTTTCAGATTGTTCACTGTTAGCATATAGCAGGGCTGCTGATTTTTGTATCCTGCAACTTTTGTGAATTTATCAGTTCTAGTCGTTTTTTAGTGTGGAGTCTTTAGGTTTTTCCGAATATAAGATCACATCATCTATAGACAAGAAGAATTTGACTTCCTCTTTTTCAATTCGAATGACCTTTATTTCTTTCTCTTGTCTGCTTGCTCTAACTAGGTCTTCCAGTACTATATTGAATAACAGTGGTGAAAGTGGGGATCCTTGGTGTGTTTCAGATCTTAGAGGAAAGACTTCCAGTTTTCCCCCTTTCAGTATACTAGCTATGGGTCTGTGGTATATGGCTTTTATTATAGAAGGAGGTATGCTCCTTCTATATCACTTTTTAAGAGTTTTTATTATGAAGGCATGTTGGATTTTATCAAATGCTTTTTCAGCATTAATTGAAATGGTCATATGGTTTCTCTCCTTCATTTGTTGATGTGATGTATCACATTGATTGATTAGCATGTGTTGAACCATCCTTGCATCCCCAGGATAAATCCCATTTGGTCATGATGAATTACCTTTTTATGTATTGTTGAATTCAGTTTGCTAGTAGTTTTTTGAGGATTTTTACATCAATGTCCATTAGGGATATTGGCCTGTAGTTGTTTTTTTAAGACAGAGTCTCACTCTGTCACTCAGGCTGGAGTGCAGTGGTGCAATCTTGGCTCACTGCAACCTCCACCTCTCAGGTTCAAGTGATTCTCCTGCCTCAGCCTCCTGAGTAGCTGGGATTACAGGTGTGAGTTACCATGCCTGGCTAATTTTTGTATTTTTAGTAGAGTCGGGGTTTCACCATGTTGTTCAAGCTGGTCTTGAACTCCTGAGCTCGTGATCTGCCCGCCTCGGCCTCCCAAGGTACCGGGATTACAGGCGTGAGCCACCGTGCCCGGCCTGGCCTGTAGTTTATTTTTATTTTATTTATTTATTTTTTGATGTGTCTTTATCTGATTTTAGTATCAGGGTAATACTGGCCCCATAGAATGAGTTTGGAAGTATTTACTTCTCTGTTTTTTTCAAATAGTTTGAGTAGGATTGGTATTAGACCTTTTTCCCCTCTTCCCCTCCCCCTCCTCCTTCTCCTTGTCTCACTCTTGTTGCCTAGGCCTGGAGTGCAGTGGTGTGATCTCAGCTCACCGCAACCTCTACCTTCCAGGTTCAAGTGATTCTCCTGCCTCAGTCTCCCAGGTAGCTGGGATTATACGCCACATGCCCAGCTAATTTTTGTATTTTTAGTAGAGAAAGGGTTTCACCATGTTAGCCAGGCTGGTCTTGAACTACTGACTTCAAGTGATCTGACTGTCTTGGCCTCCCAAAGTGCTGGGATTACAGGCATGAGCTGCCATGCCTGGCTAATTTTTGTATTTTTAATATAGATGGGGTTTCACCATCTTGGCTAGGCCTGTCTTGAACTCCTGACCTCATGATCCACCCATCTCAGCCTCCCAACGTGCTGAGATTACAGGCATGAACCACCTCACCTGGCCAGCATAGATATTTTCAATGTTTATATCCTCTTACTGAATTGACTCCTTTATTATTATATTGTGACTTTCTTCGTCTCTTTTTATAGTTTTTGTCTTGAAATCTATTTTATTTAATACAACTATCCCTGTTCTTTTTTGGTTTCCATTGACAGTGAATATCTTTTTCCATCTCTTTATTTTCAGTTTGTCTTTATAGTTAAAGTGTGTTTCTTGTAGACAACAGATCATTGGAGCTTCTTTTTTTTTTTTATCCCTTCAGGCACTCTGTGTCTTTTGATTAAAGGGTTTAGGCCATTTACATTCAGTGATATTATTGATAAGTAAGAAATTTTATTCATTTTGTAATTTGTTTTCTGGTTCTTATTTATAAGGGGAGAGAGGATGGCTTTAGCCTGGGTGGTAGAGGTTGCAGTGAGCCAAGATTGCACCACTGCACGCCAGCCTGGGTGACAGAGTGACAGAGCGAGAACCTGTTTCAAAAAAGGGGAAAAAAAAGGGTCAAGCACAGTGACTGATGCCTGTAATCCCAGCACTTTGGGAGGCCCAGGCAGGTGGATCACTTGAGGTCAGGAGTTTGAGATCAGCCTGCCCAACATGGTGAAGCCTTGTCTCTACTAGAAATACAAAATTAGCTGGGCATGGTGGTAGACACCTGTAATCCCAGCTATCTGGGAGGCTGAGGCAGAAGAATCACTTAAACCCAGGAGACGGAGGTTGCAGTAAGCTGAGATCGCACTATTGCACTCCAGCCTGGGCTACAAGAGCAAAACTCCGTCTCCAAAAAAAACAAAGACTGATGCATTCTTGAGTATGTCAGTTGCATCTTTCCACTCCAGAATTTCTGCTTAATTATTTCAATTATTTGTTGAATTTACCTGATAGGATTCTGAATTCCTTCTCTGTGTTATCTTGAATTTCTTTGAGTTTCCCCAAAACAGCTATTTCGAGTTCTTTAACTGAAAGGTCACATATCTTTCTCTGCAGGATTGGCCCCTAGTGCCTTATTTAGTTCATTTGGTGAGGGTATATTTTCCTGGATGGTCTTAATGCTTGTGAGTGTTCATTGATGTCTGCACATTGAAGAGTCAGAAATTTATTATAGTCTTCACAGTCTGGACTTGTTTGTACATTCTTGTTGGAAGGTATTCCAAGTATTCAAAGAGAATAGAGTGTTGCAATCTATGTCTTTGGTCATTGTAACTGTATCTGCATTAGGGGGTACCTCAAATCCAGCAATGTTGTAGTTCTTCTAGATTCACAGAGGTACCACCTTGGTGGTCTTAGATAAGTCCAGAATTCTCTGTATTACCATTCTTCCGGCAGAGGAGTGGCTCCTATGTCCTCCAGCACCACAGGCCCATGAGGTGGGGAGTATTTCCAGGGTACCACCAATGTTACTTAAGGCCCAGGGCTCCTCAGTTAGTTTATGCTGGATGCTGCCAGGCCTGGGACTCACCTTCAGGGCAGTGGGTTCCCCTCTGTTCTAGGGTAGGTCCTAAAATGCCATCCAACAGCCAAGGCCTGGATTCATGGACCCCACTAGCCCCCCTGGTACTCTTCCCGGTGTGGTCAAGCGTGTCCCTAAGCTGCAAGACAATCCTCTTTACTCTTCTCTCTCCTTTTCTCAAACAGAAGGAGTCTCTCCTGGTAGTCACTACTGCTCTGAATGTGCTGGGTCACACCTGAAGCCAATATGTCTCAGAGTTTCAGCTGAGACCCATGGTGTATACTACCTCATTACCACTGCTGATTATTCAGGGCCCAGGGCCTCTATAGTGAGCAAATTATGAATCCCAAATGGCCTACTTTTAAATAAAAAATTCTGTGTTTATTTTGTTTGTTTGTGAGAAGTAGGATCACCCACTCTGTTGCCCAGGCTGGAGTGCAGTGGCACAATCATAGCTCACTGCAGCCTTGAACTCTGGGGCTCAAGCAATTCTCCCACCTTAGTCTCCCAAGTAGGTGGAACTACAGGCATATACCAGCATGCCTGGGTAACTTTTTAAATTTTTTGTAGATGATGTCTTGCTGTGTTGCCCAGGCTGGTCTTTAACTCCTATACTCAAGTGATCTTCCTACCCAGGCCTCCCAAAATACTGGGATTATAGGCATGAGCCACCTGTATTTTTGTTTTTTTGAGACAGGCTCTCGCTGTTGCCTAGACTGGAGTACAGCAGTGTGATCATGGCTCACTATAGCCTGGTCTCAAGCAATCTTCCTGCCTCAGTCTCCCAAGTGCTTGAGACTATAGGTACATGCCACCACTCCTGGCTAATTTTTAAAATTTTTTAGTAGACACAAGGTCTTGCTATGTTGCCCAGGCTGGTCTTTTTTTTTAAATTTTTTTTTTTTTTTTTTTAAACAGGGTTTCACCATGTTGGTCAGGCTGGTCTTGAACTCCCGACCTCACGTGATCCTGCCTTGGCCTCCAAAGTGCTTGGATTACAGGTGTGAGCCACCGTGCCCAGCCAAGGCTGGTCTTAAACTCAAGCAATCCTCCCACCTTGGACTGTCAAAGTGCTGGAATTTACAAGTGTGAGCCACCACACTCCACCAGTCTTTTCGTGATTACTGACAGTTTTTTAAAAAGTAAGAGAATGTTCTTTACCCAGGTAATTAATTTTGTGTAAGACTAAACCTGTTGCTGTAATTTGTTATGTTTATTCAAAGTAACAACAGTTTAACCATTTTTCATATCCATCACAATTTGTAATTTTGCTTTTTGAAAATCATGGTGTCTAAGAGCATATTATTAGGCTTATTACCAACTATACAGCGTATTATTTTCTGTATCGTTCCTCCCAAGTAGGCTAACTTGATGTTAAATATTTATTTTAAATCAGGATACCCTTAGTTATTTGTTCCACATTGAACCTTAAAAAGATAAAATAGATTTTTCTTAATTTTATTATTTGAATGTGTAGTTCGGAAACTTAAGGGACAAGAGTAGATACTTGATTCTCTCTTGTTAATTTTATCTTCCTGATCATGATTCCTGTTCTCTTTTTGCATGCTAGGTAAATATGGGTTGCTAATTTTTTTTTTTTTTTTGCTATAGCCAAGTATTTGAAGTGTTTACATATTATTCATTGATTCTAAATAATTTAACATTTATTTTAAATGTGTTTGTTTTTTTTTTCCCATTCTACCAGATCAAACTTGGACATAGATCAGAAGCTAAAGATGGTAAGTATTTCATGTAATCTGACAGACAGGAAAAGTTTTCTCCTTTTTTTTTTTTTTTAAAAAAAAAAAAAAAAAAAAAAGGATATTGCTCTGTCGCCCAGGCTGGAGTACAGCAACACAATCATAGCTCACTGCAGCCTCAAACTTCTGTTCTCAAGCATTTCTCCCACCTCAGCCTCCTGAGTAGCTATAAACGTGTGCCACCACTTGTGGTTAATGTTTTATTTTTTGTAGAGACGGGGTCTGGCTATGTTGCTTAGGGTTGTCTCAAACTCCTGGCTTCAAGCTGTCCTCCCACCTCAGCCTCCCAAAGTGCTGGGATTACAGGCTTGAGCTACCATGCCCAGCATAAAGTTTTCATTCTCACTGAATAAATGAGCCAAGTGTTAATTAATAAGAGTTAGTAATGGTAGTAATGGTTCTGGATAGAGTTATTGCAGGGTCCCCGAAGAGTAAAGATAGATTCGGGATAGAGAAAGGAGTATTTGGTGATTTTTACCAATTGGATGTTCAGAGAAACATTCTAAATCACCAACATAAATGGAAGCCAGCAAGCTTAATTAGTCTTTGTCTTCATTACTGTTACAGGTGTTATAAGCCATTGTTTTTTCTGTTTCTGAGTTTCTAATTACTTGGAAAATTCAGGATACATTTTCAAGAAAGTATATAAAACTTACTATGGAATAGATACATGGGGAAAATATTTCATTAAGTTTTCTTCCAAAGTCTTATTTATTAAGAGTCATCATAAAATAGCTATTGTAAAAGAGACCCATTGTCTGTGTAAGTGCCAGTACTATATCTTATTTTTATTTTATTTATTTTTTCTGAGACAGAGTCATGCTCTGTTGCCCAGGCTGGAGTGCAGTGGTGCAATCTCGGTTCACTGCAACCTCCACCTCCCAGGTTCAAGCGATTCTCCTGCCTCAGCCTCCCAAGTAGCTGGGATTACAGGTGTATGTCACCACACCCAGCCAAATTTTTGTATTTTTAGTAGAGATGGGGTTTCACTATGTTGACCAGCTGGTCTCAAACTCCTGGCCTCAAGTTATCTGCACATCTCGGCCTTCCAAAGTGCTGGGATTGGGAGACACCCCGCCTGGCCTGTATCTTATTTTTAATTTTGAAATCTCTAACTTGTATTGGAAAAGATACTATCTTATCACTAGTTTGCTTTTAGCACAAACAATATGCCACTAATATTTGTAGGGCAAGAGTAGGGAAGTTTATCACCTATATGCTGCACACTTATGTATGTTGTTAGTCTAGTGGTCTTCGGATCCTAATATCCTATAGGTAAAGTGAATTTTTTTTCACCATCATAGTCTTTGTTAAGCTATTTAAAAAATAAAGCAATATAGACCTGGCATGGTAGCTCACACCTGTAATTCCAGTGCTTTGGGAGGCTGAGGTGGGTAGATCGCTTGAGCTCAGGGGTTTGAGACCAGCCTGGCCAGCATGGCAAAACCCTATCTCTACCAAAAATATCAAAAATTAGCCAGGCGTGGAGGTGCGTACCTGTGGTCCCAACTACTTGGGAGGCTGAGGTGGGAGAATCACTTGAGTCTGGGAGGTGGAGGCTGCAGTGAGCCAAGATCATGCCACTGCATTCCAACCTGGCTGACAGAGTGAGACCCCATCTCAGAAAAAAAATAATAAAAGTAAAACAATGTAAAATAACAACAGATTTGTCATAAAAATTGTCAAAGTACCCCTTATTTTTTTGTGGAATGTTCCCTATTTTCTGAGACGACTAACCTGTCTTTAAAAAATATGGGTTTGTAAGGTTTGAGATTTCAGAATTACTCACTTTTTGCTTTGCCTTTTTATGTAGGTATAAATAGAACAGCCTTAAGAGAGATAAAATTATTACAGGAGCTAAGTCATCCAAATATAATTGGTGTGAGTATGATCAAAATTGTTACTGGGATTTGGGACCCTGCCTTTTCTTAATATAATGGATGTTGATTAAAGGCTCAGAAAGATGACTTCTAGATGAGCCTTGCAGGAGCTTAAAGGAAGTTCATTTTCTATCCCAGTTGCTTCAGTAGGCATTGTCTTTAAAACTATACAACTGATTAAGTAAATGAAATATTTAATGTAGGCTAATTTTGTCAGAAATAATTTTGAAGTCAGGGAGCTCTAGCATACAGTGGCTGAGTGTGTCAGCCCGAATTCAAAACGTTTCTTTCTGCCTGTGTGAGACCTTGAGTGTGTTCCCTCACAACTCCCCAGAGTCCCTGCCTCATAGGTTGGTTGTGAAACTAGCTAATTTAATACATGTAAAGTATCTGAAATAGTGCCTGCCTGCCATAGAAAGTGTACTCATTCATTCAGTGATAGCTGCTGTTATTTAGAGGATTTCTTTAGTATCATGCTTGGGACCTTTTTTGTTAATTGGAGACTAGAATGAGGTTTTCATTGGTTAATTTCTTAATTATAACTCCAAATATTTGGGAGAAGAGGTTGGGTATTTTTTTTGGTAAAATTTAATATTTTTGTACTTCAAAATACTAGTTCCTTTAATACTGTCCAAAAAAGGACAAATGTCAAATTTAATCAAATGATTTAAGCTTTATAGGGAATTACCAATAGTTTAAATGCTTTTAAAATTTTTAAAAACTGCCTCAGTTGCTATGATACTGTCAGGAATTAGTGAATCACATTTTAATTTTTTTTACTTTGCAGCTCCTTGATGCTTTTGGACATAAATCTAATATTAGCCTTGTCTTTGATTTTATGGAAACCGATCTAGAGGTAAGATTAGGATTCCTGGAGAAGTTCTTTTGTCCCAGTTTTAAAAAAAAGAACCTAAATATTTGTTTTCTACCTAAGAAGATACTGGTAGTAAAAAAAAAAAAAAAAAAAAAGAAGCAGCAGCTTAATTTTGTTGAAATCTGAATGTACTTCAAGTCAAAAGGATCTCTTATTTTCTACTAATCATTTAGTGATATTTCCAGTGGTACATAAAGAGATTTGGATTTCGTTGTGGCATTTCTGCCTACCAGGTTCCCATAGCTTGTTGACGTCATTTTTCGAGAAATGAGCATTAGACCTATAATTTTTTTTTTTTTTTAAGACAGAATCTTGCTCTGTCACCAGGCTGGAGTGCAATGGCATGATCTCAGCTTACTACAGCCTTCACCTCCTGGGTTCAAGTGATTCTCTTACCTCAGCCTCCAGAGTAGCTGGGATTACGGTGCCACCATGCCTGGTGAATTTTTTAGTAGAGATAGGGTTTCACCAGGTTGGCCACACTGGTCTTGAACTCCTAACCTCAAGTAATCTGCCTTCTTCAGCCTCCCAAAGTGCTAAGATTACAGGCATGAGTCACCGTGCCCAGCTGACCTGTAAGAATTTAAAGCTTATTTCCAGTCAAGTGCAGTGACCCACACCTGTAATCTTAGCACTTTGAGAGGCCAAGACAGGAGGACTGCTTAAGCCCAGGAGTTCAAAACCAGCCTGGACAATATAGTGAGACCCTGTCTCTACTTTAAAAATTATATTAAAAAATAAAGAAGCTTGTTTCCATATAATCAGAGTAATGTCATTCTTTTGAAAGCCAAGTTTGGCGGAGTCTCATTCTGTTACCCAGACTGGATTGCAGTGGCATGATCTCAATCCACCACACCCTCTGCCTGCCAGGTTCAAGCAATGCTCGTGCCTCAGCCTCTTCAGTAGTTGGGATTATAGGTGCCCACCACAATGCCTGGCTAATTTTTGTATTTTTAGTAGAAATAGAGTTTCACCATATTGCCCAGGCTGGTCTCAAACTCCTGACCTCAAATAATCTGCCTGCCTCGCCTCCCAAGGTGCCAAAATTACAGGTGTGAGCAACTGTACCTGGCCAAGTTTCTTTTAAAAAAAATATAAAATCTTCTTTTTAAAAAATGTAAAATCCAACAAAAAAGAAAAAAGAAATTAAAAAATAAATAAAAATATAGAATCCGTTAATGTTAGTCGAATCTCAAAAAATGAACAATTCGGCCAGATGTGGTGGCTCACGCCTGTAATTCCAGCACTTTGGGAGGCCGAGGTGGGTGGATCACGAGGTCAAGAGCTCGAGACCATCCTGGCCAACATAGTGAAACCCCGTCTCTACTAAAACTACAAAAATTAGCTGGGCGTGGTGGCACGCCTGTAGTCCCAGCTACTTGGGAGGCTGAAGCAGGAGAATTGCCTGAACCTGGGAGGCAGAGGTTGCAGTGAGCCGAGATCTCGCCACTGCACTCCAGCCTGGCGCCTGGCAATGGAATGAGACTCTGTCTTAAAAAAAAAAAAAAAAAGAACAATTCAAGGATATGGAATAGCTGGAAGTTTTTTTTTTTTATTTCAATATATATTTATTTAGAATGCACACTAACAGCATGATGATAAACTGTCATTCACAAACCTGTACCAAGAAGCACATAATCTTTAAAACATGTTGTTCTTCACAAGTAACTTAACTATAACATTATTATTTGGTACTTGAGTCAAAGACAACATTTAGATTCTTTAGCTTTGAGGCATTTAGTAACATCGTCTAGTCAGGCAGAGGAAAGAAATTCAAAAGCAGTTTCTTTTTCTTCCATCAGTTCCTTTGCAATAAGATCTATCGTCTCACATGAAAAATCATTAATAGGGAGACCTTCAACAAACTTCTAGGTCTTATTCTTGATTACAACAGGGAATGAGCAGAGCAGATCATCAGGAATACTATAGGAGTTGCCATCAGAGATAACGCCCATGTACACAAACTCTCCCTCTGACATAAACATGTCCCTGATGTGTGGTCACAAATGGCTTTTGCAGCAGACATTGCTCTGGATAGTTTTCGAGCCTTGATGATAGCAGTGCCACGCTGCTTCATAGTCATGACAAATTCTCCTTGAGCCTGCTGTCATCTTTCAGAACTTCATAAACACAACTTCCTTTCCTTGCAATTTCACCTTGGCATGACTGACATCTTGATACCGGGTCAAGGAATGGTTTCCCCAGATAATGACATTTGTTACATCATTAGCAGTCACACCAAGTTGAAGAGCAATTTGAGCTTTAGCTCGGTTGTCATCCAAACAAGTCAAGCAACCGAAGTTCTCCTTGGGCATGTATGGAGCCGACTTGGAGGCAGTCAGGCGGTTGGTATTGGCTGGATTACCCACAACAATAACCTTAACTGACTTTTTATTGTATTTCTCTAAGGCTGCACCCTGGGATTTGAAGATTTTCACATTTGCTTTTAGTGAATCTTTTCTCTCCATGCCTTCCCTTCTTGGCATGGAGGCCACAAGAAAGGCCATATCCAGGTTTTTGAAGGAAACCTCTTCTTTATCTGTTGCAATGACATCTTTGAGGAGGTGAAGGGTACAGTCTTGCAGTTCCATTAGGACAGGATACCCATCATGGGGGTGATATCCAACAGCACAAAAATTATAGGCTGGTCTTATCAAAGACAGATCTATTTCTAATACTGTACAGCAGTGAATATACAGTTTGACCATCTGCTCCAGTCACAGGGACTCTGTGGTTCAGACATGATTGAAAACTGCAGGGACAATTTCAGCACCTGCAAAATGAGCCTCAGAGAGTCAGGTTACCTCTTGGAAGTTTTTTGTTTTTTGTTTTCCAAGATGGAGTCTCTCTTTGTCGCCCAGGCTGGAGTGTAGTGGCATGATCTCGACTCACTGAAACCTCTGCCTCCCAGGTTCAAGAAATTCTCCTGCCTCAGCATCCTGAGTAGCTGGGATTACAGGTGCCTGCTACCACGCCTGGATAATTTTTGTATTTTTAATAGAGACGGGGTTTCCCCAATCATGTTAGCCAGGCTGCTCTTGAACTCTTTAACTCAGGTGATCTGCCTCCTGAAGTGCTGGGATTACAGGCATGAGCCACTACACATGGCCAGTACAGCTGGAATTCTTATACACTGCTGGTGAGAAAGCAGTGAAATGATACAATTTCTTATACAATTAAATACACCCCAGCCAAATCAAAGCAAAAAAGGATTTCATACAACACATTACCAAAAAGTAAAAGGAACACATTAACTGCTCAAACTGATGGTGATTGAGTCCATAGCCTATTGTGATGGGTCCTTCCAGCATCAATACCACTAGTATTGTGATCTATAATAGCATCACTAATAATTGTGATAAGTATCACTGATCACTAATCTTGTGATCTGGCAATATCACTGCTAGGTATTTATCTAAAAGAAAGAGGCTGGGAGTGGTGGCTCACACCTATAATAATCCTGACATTTTGGGAGGCCGAGGCGGGCGGATCACCAAACGTCAAGAGTTTGAGACTAGCCTGTCCAATACAATGAAACCCCATCTCTACAAAAAAAAAAAAAAAACTAGCCGGGCATGGTGGTGGGCACCTGTAATCCCAGCTACCCGGGAGGCTGAGGCAGGAGAACTGCTTGAACTGGGAGGAGGAGGTTGCAGTGAGCCAAGATCACACCACTGCACTCCATCCTAGGCAACAGTGAGACTCCCATCTCAAAAAAAAAAAAGAAACATATGCCAGAATTCACTTGGTACACAGATGTTGGGCTTTATTCATAATTGTCAAAACTGGAACAGTCCAAACATCCATTATCAAGTAATTGTACAAAAAAACTGAAATACTACTCAGGAATAGTAACAAACTATTGATAAATGCAACAACATAGATGAATCTCAAATGCATTATACTAAGTGAAAGAACCCAGGCTAAAAAGACTGTATTGAGTAATTTCATTTATATGATATTCTGGAAAAGGCAAAACAAGCCAGAAACCAGATCAGTGATTGGGGGAGCTTTGGGGTAAAGGAAAGGAGTAAGTACAGAGGGGCCTCAGAATTTTGGAAGGTTACACAACTGTTTTGATTATAGTGGTAGTTATACATGACTGGATGCTTTTGTCAAAACTCATGGAACTATACACTAAAAAGGGTATGTTTTACCTTAAATCTGATTTTAAAGAAAAAGGGAACTTTTAGTTTCTAACTGATAAATCTAGAAATAAACTGACATTAGGCACAGCTCACAAATAATGCCATCAAAACTCAGTCTTTAACTCAGCTCTGTTTTCTTCTCTGTTGCCTTCTTCATGTGTACAGTTCTCAATATGGTATTCCAGACACTTCTTGGAGTATGTTTGTAGAGTTTAAAACTTCCTGAGGAAAGAAGAGGTTTCTTTTCTTTGATTCTAGCACAAGTACTTGGCTTGGTTGATTGACTTGTCTTGTATCCCTGAACCAGTCACTTGACCAGGAGACCACAGTATGGTAATGGCCATGTCTGGGTCATGCGCATGTGCTTACCTCTGGAGACCTCACGTTGGCTCACTTCTGTCTGGGACTAAGCTGAGAAAAGAGGTTTCCCAAGGGAATATTGAATGCTGTTGTCAGAAGATGCCAGCATAAACAATAAGTGTTTGCTGCTTTCATGTGAAAGCAGTAGGGGACAAAGCACTGCTTTCTTTCCACACCAGAAATGCTCTCCCTACCCACATACCTATGGAGACTCTGACTGCTTCCTGTGGAAACTTATATAACCTCTCTTGAGAGTCTCCTGTGTGGATACACTCATTTTAAGTCTGTAAATTGTTTTTGTGGTAGAGTTTATTTGAAATAATAAAGGGTACCTGTATGTTTTATACGTGCTTTACAGGTTATAATAAAGGATAATAGTCTTGTGCTGACACCATCACACATCAAAGCCTACATGCTGATGACTCTTCAAGGATTAGAATATTTACATCAACACTGGATCCTACACAGGGTAAGGTTTTTAATATTGCTTCTTTATGCTAGTCAAGTTTTATGTAGCCCATTTAGTACATAATAGTCTGAATATGTAAATTGTTTAACAAAAATGAAGATACAGCTGGACCATTTTATCCCATCTTTTTCCTATATATTCCCTTCAGTTGTTCCAGCCATTGGTGCTATGAGGACTATGTGAAATTACTATGTGAAATTTAGAACTGGAAGAGATCTAGTCCCTCATTTTTTTAATAGATTAAGAGCTAAGTTGCTAAGTGACCTGACCATGGTTATAGTTTTTTTCAAGGTTGGCTGCTGATAGCAGAGTATTAAAACACAGGTCTTGGGCCAGGTGTGGTGGTTCACGCCCGTGTTCCCAGCACTTTGGGAGGCCAAGGCAGGCAGATCACCCGAGCTCAGGAGTTCAAGACCAACCTGGGCAATATAATGAAAACTCGCCTCTGCAAAAAATATAGAAATTAGCTGGGTGTGGTGGTGCACATCTGTAGTCCCAGCTGCTCAGGAGGTTGAGGTCGGAGGATCACCTGAGCCCAGGAGGCAGGAGTTGCAGTGAGCTGAAGTCACGCCACTGTACTCTAATCTGGGTTGCAAAGTGAAACCCTGTCTCTCTCTCAGAAAAAAAAAAATAGGTCTTTTGGCTTTAAGTTCTGTATTCTTTGTGCTACAGTGGTGTTGTGGGGAAAAATATATATAGTGATGGTCTTGGATTAACTCATACAATGCCAAAATACAACTAGAAAAGAAATGTTTCTAGTAGCTCTAAAATTCATGTTACAAAATACAATCTATGAAAATATGGGAACGTTCAGCTTTTAGAACAAGGCTGATAATTTAGCTAGGTAGGTGTTCCTTATTTAGATAAGTAGTAAGAATATATAATTTATAACTAATTATTCTAATAGCTTAAGTTTGGAATCACTTTTAGGTTATTGCTGATTTTTTTTAGCATAGATTTTGAAGAATGTTAATCCTCATTCTTTGTATGATATGCATTAACAAATGCATGTGCCGGGCACGGTGGCTCAAGCCTGTAATCCCAGCACTTTGGGAGGCCGAGGCGGGTGGATCACGAGGTCAAGAGATCGAGACCATCCTGGTCAACATGGTGAAACCCCGTCTCTACTAAAACTACAAAACATTAGCTGGGCGTGGTGGTGCGTGCCTGTAATCCCAGCTACCCAGGAGGCTGAGGCAGGAGAATTGCCTGAACCCAGGAGGTGGAGGTTGCGGTGAGCCGAGATCGCGCCATTGCACTCCAGCCTGGGTAACAAGAGCGAAACTCCGTCTCAAAAAAAAAAAAAAAAACAAATGCATGTTTTTATGAAAGTTCATATTTTTATTAAATTAATAGTAGGAACCATTTATTGGGTGCCTACTATGAGCCAGTCATTACACTAGACTACAGAAAATATCAGATTTAATCCTCCCAGAAACTATGAAGTATGTAAATTGAGGCTTAGTGAAATTAAGTACCTTACCAAGGTTATATAATATAACCAATCTAATTTTGCTTTGGTAAAATTTTAAATCAATGGAAAAAAATATTGGTTGTTTAAATTTCAGGTGTTAACCTATTTTTGCTAAGTTTAAAGTTAACACCAACTAAATGTAGCACTACAGTGTTCTCCCCTACCCTGCTTATTTGTTTGTTTAAAACTTCTGTCATATAGGATCTGAAACCAAACAACCTGTTACTAGATGAAAATGGAGTTCTAAAACTGGCAGATTTTGGCCTGGCCAAATCGTTCGGGAGCCCCAATAGAGCTTATACACATCAGGTTGTAACCAGGTAAGAATCCCTTAAAGCTGCATGTGCAGGATGTTGATCATAAATGAGCATCAACTGGCATCTCTAAAATATCTTGGCAGAGTTCAGGAATCATTGTTGGTATGCTCTTAAAAAAATACTGCCTTGGGTATTAATTTCCTATTTAAAAAAAGAAAACAAAATACTGCCCTTTTTATGTTAGGTATATTTTACCATGGTGAAAACATAGACAGCCCTTTTTCAAACAGTTTAACTCAATCCTAAAACATTTACCTTGTAATTGGGAATAATTTATACTTTTACATTTTAGTTATGAGATAATCTAGAATTTCAGTGGCTATTCTACCTGATTTATTAGACCCATGTTTATTATATTCGTCAGTCCTGATTCTGTATCCTTCCATGTGAATGAAAATTCTCTGAACAAAGCAATGTCTTGATATTTGAATTTTTCATATTAGTAATTATATTTTCCGTTTGTATTTTTGAGGTGTAAAAACAGAAAATCACATTGAATAGAAATGGTAGATTTTATAATTTCTGTCCCAGTGGCATTTTATTAATTTTCAAGACTCTTTTAAGGATCTGCAGAGATTTTCAAATTCTGTATTTTTTCTTTTTCTTTTTTGAGACAGGATCTTGCCCTGTCATCCATGTTGGAGTTCTGTTGTGCAAACACTACTCACTGCAGCCTTGACCTCCTAGGTGCAAGCGATCCTCCTACCTCAGCCTCCTGAGGATCTGGGGCCACAGGCATGCCCTACCACAGCTGGCTAATTTTTTTTTTTTTTTTTTTTTTGAGATAGAGTCTCACTCTGTCACCCAGGCTGGAGTGCAGTGGTACAATATCTGCTCACTGCAACCTCTGCCTCCTGGGTTCAAGTGATTCTCTTGCCTCAGCCTCCTGAGTAGCTGGGATTACAGGCGTTCACCACCACGCCCGGCTAACTTTTGTATTTTTAGTAAAGCAGTGGTTTTACCATGTTGGTCAGGCTAGTCTCAAACTCTTGACCTTGTGATTTGCCCACCTTGGCATCCCAAAGTACTAGGATTACAGGCATGAGCCACCACACCTGGCCACAGCTGTCTAATTTTTTAAAGTTTTTATCGAGATGGATCTCGCCATGTTGCCCAGGCTGATCTCAAGCAATCCTCTCACCTCAGCCTCCCAAATTTCTGGGATTACAGGTGTGAGCCATTGTGCCTGGCCCCAAATTCACTGTTTTAAGTTATTTTGCCACCTTCTTTCGAATACACATCATTGAGTATAAATCACCTAAGCCCTGAGTAAGAAGTAGGGGATGTGAGTAATTGTTTATGTAATTGCTAGATCAATTAAGCTCATCATTCAGGAACTCATAGAAACAGGGCCCTGTGTACAAGAGCATTGTTAACTGATGCTTTCTCATCTACTAGTATCTCATATTGTCTCTGTCTGTGAATCAACTGTTGCTAATAAGTCAAATTAAGATGAAGACTTTGAGAGTTGACAATGAGATTTAGCAGTGTGGACATCACTGATAATCTTAATAAGAGCAGTTGTGGTAGAATGGTAAGGATAAAAGCCTGATTGAAAAGGTTTTTGGCTGGGCGCGGTGGCTCACGCCTGTAATCCCAGCACTTTGGGAGGCCGAGGCGGGTGGATCACGAGGTCAAGAGATCGAGACCATCCTGGTCAACATGGTGAAACCCCGTCTCTACTAAAAATACAAAAAATTAGCTGGGCATGGTGGTGCGTGCCTGTAATCCCAGCTACTCAGGAGGCTGAGGCAGGAGAATTGCCTGAACCCAGGAGGCGGAGGTTGCGGTGAGCCGAGATCGCGCCATTGCACTCCAGCCTGGGTAACAAGAGCAAAACTCCGTCTCAAAATAAAAAAAATAAAAAAAAGAAAAGGTTTTAAGAGGATGGAAGAAAAAGAATTGGAGACAGTAAGAACAGACAATTCTTTGAACTAATCAGAGAATGAGGAGGTACCTGTTAGGGGAGATAGGGTCCAGAGAAGTTTAAGGCTGGAGGAATACTAGTATGTTTGTACATCATTGGGAAAGGTCTAGTAGAAAACAAAAGACCGATAATGTAGGAGAAAAAGGAGAGAATTGCAAAGGCATTATATTTAAAACTTCACGAAACAGTATGGTATCTAGTGTTTAAAATAAGGGATTGGCTTTAAAAACAGACAAGGATTGTTCATCTCTAAGACGTGCTTTGATAATTTTATGCTAAAATGATACTAATTCTTTTTGTTCTTTAGGTGGTATCGGGCCCCTGAGTTACTATTTGGAGCTAGGATGTATGGTGTGGGTGTGGACATGTGGGCTGTTGGCTGTATATTAGCAGAGTTACTTCTAAGGGTAAGTCTAAATTAATGTACACACTTTAATATTGCTGTTGGAGTTATTTGTTCTTACAGTTTGTATAAGAATTCTTGTCCTAGCCCAAGCATGGTGGCTCATGCCTTTAATCCCAGCACTTTGGGAGGCAGAGGCAAGCGGATCACTTGAGGTCAGGAGTTCGAGGTCAGCCTGGTCAACAAGGTGAAACCCCTGTCTCTACTAAAACTAGAAAAATTAGCCAGGCGTAGTAGTGGGTGCCTGTAGTCCCAGCTACTCAGAAGGCTGAGACAGGAGAATCGCTTGAACCTGGGAGTCGGAGCTTGCAGTGAGCCGACATTGCGTTACTGCCCTCCAGCCTGGGCATCAGAGCAAGACTCTGTCTCAAAAAAAAAAAAAAGAATTCTTGTCCTACCAATGTCCTTACAACAAAAAGCCTACAAATAGACCAATTTTTAAAAAGCCAAATGCAGCATTTTAAAATATTAACATGAAATGAGAATATCTTCCATTTAGGACAATAAGAACTTTATTGTAGATAGTTTTATATACTTCAGAACATAGAAATTCACTTGTAATATGGCAGTATCTCTAAAATAACTAAATATGTTTAGATAAACTTTTGTCATCCTGAGGGGTTTTTTGTTTGGAGCTGTTTTAAGTACGCTTAGGAGATACATAATACCACCACTGCAGCTAAAGTTCTGTATAACTTCAACCTTGTGTGAGACCAGTATTTTAGTTCTGTTGAAACAGAACAGATACAATGTTACTATAGGATTTCTCTAACACAGACCATCATCTTACAGTAAGAAAATCCCCAGGCTGGGATCGGTGGCTCACGCCTGTAATCCCAGCACTTTGGGAGGCCGACCGAGGCAGGTGAATCACAACATCAGGAGTTCGAGACCAGCCTGACCAACATGGTGAAACCGCATTTCTTAAAAAAAAAAAAAAAAAAAAAATCCCCTACTTACCCTCATCAGAGAGAAACATGTTACTTGGAAACTTCTCTTTAGCTGTGCTTATACTGCTGTATAAGTACGGCGTGCTAACCGATTGCACCACTGGAGCTCCACTTCTCTTTAGCTGTAAAGTTTAGATCTCCAGAAAGACTAGCCCTTCTGAATGATGAAGGTAAAGGGATATTGGGGAATCCTTCTGAAGCCAGGGGTTTTTTTCCCTCTCCATATTCCAATCCCTGCTGTCCTTCTCCTCAAGCCATATGTATTTAAAGAAATTCAAACCAAGATTGAATAGCTTTTTTTTATCTCCTTGAACACAGAAAATAACTTCTGTACACCAAAGAGAAAAGTTAACACTAAACTAAAAATGTTTAGTTTTACTAAGCATACTGGTGGCTCATACCTATAGCCCCAGCTACTTGGGAAGCTGAGGTGGGAGGATCACTTGAGCTCAGGAGTTTGAGGTCAGCCTGGACAATATAGCAAGACCCCAATCTCTTTAAAAAAAAAAAAAAAAAAAGTAAATTCTGTGCATCATTTTGAGAAGCTCACCCAATGGGCATTTTTAGAAGAAACCCACACATTCAAACTTGAAGGTGATATTATAATCACGGTGCTAACGGGGTCCTGTGAATCAGCTGGCATGACGAACCTGCTACTTACATGAGCACAGTATACCAGAAATTCACACTGAGAATTTATTAACTGCCAAAATCCATTCATGGCCAAGAACAAAACAGAATTCCTTATGAAGAGAGACAGCAGTTGAGAGTAGACAGGTTAGAGAGTGTGGAACTGTTAACAGTCATACTTAGAAATTTATTAGCCATTGGCATTGTTGCTGGAATCATCTTTAAAGTTATAAGGAAAATGAAATGCAGAGTCTAAGAAGCGTTCTAAGAATTGTACTAGTCTGCTATACTGCTTGTCCTATTTTAAGCTATCCCTGCACTCAATTGAAAAGGTAGAAATGTTTCCCATATGAATGCTTAGCCAGGGATCACCAAATAGTTATTAAGAATCTTCAGATAGTAATGAATACTTCCAAAATGAAAGGCAGACTAAAACAAACTAAAAAAGAAACTTGGAAAAAATGGAAACAACTAGAGCAGAAGAAAATTCGCTGCCCCAGTCACCTTTCAAATCTTCGGAGACCCAAGAGGTTATAATGCATCTATAAAATAAGCACACCATGCTTTTTTAAAAAAGGGAACAATCAAATAAGAGATACAATAGAGGATAGCCAAAGGCAAACAGAAACAATGAAAGGAATGGGAAAGTAAGCTACAAAACTCTTTAAGTAAAATCAAAAGGTAAAGAGATGGCCAGGCATGATGGTGCATACCTGTGGTCCCAGCTACTTGGGAGGCTGAGGCAGGAGAATCCCTTGAGCCCAGGAGTTCAAGAGCAGCCTGGAAAACATTGTGAAACCCTGTCTCAAAAAAAAAAAAAAAAAAAAAGATAGGTGGACTATAGTAGAGAAAAGATAAAATGAACAGTTTGGTCCAAGATCGATTCTAGACTGTATCAAGAGAAAACAAAGAAAATGGAGGGAAGCTCAAGAAAATAGAGAAGCATTGCTGGATGTGAATCTTCAGACTGAAAGTGCCATGAATAGTACAATTTTGAAAATTACAAATAAAGCTTTAAGTATTCTAAAGGCTCTGCATAAATGAATGAAAAAAATACCTGTACCAAGATACATGATTGTGAAATTTCAGAATACAAAGGCTTAAGGAAAATATTTTATTTCCACAGAGAAGAAAAGCAGCATACATAGAAAAGAAAATAAAGGATTAGGGAAAAGAATGGCATGAGCCTTCTCAACAACAGCATTGGAATCTAGAAGTCTTCACGTTGTGAGGGAAAATGATTCTCAACCTAGAATTCTTTGCCTGTTTATATTTTCAGTTAACTCTGAGGGTAACTATAATTTATTACATCAGAAATTTACTTCTAGGCCAGGCAGGGTAGCTCACTCCTGTAACCCCAGCACTTTGGGAGGCCAAAGTGGGTGGATTGCTTGAGCTCAGGAGTGTGAGACCCACTTGGGCAATGTGATGAAACCCTTTCTCTACCAAAAATATAAAAATTAGCTGGGCATGATAGTGAGTGCCTGTTGTCCCAGCTACTCAGGAGGCTGAGGGGGGAGGATCACTGGAGCCCAGGAATTTGAGGCTGCACTGAGGAGATAGTGCCACTGCACTCCAGCCTGGGTGACTGAGTGAGACCCTGTCTAAAAAAAAGAAAAAAAAAGAAATTACTAGACATGGTCGTGCATGCCTGTAGTCCCAGCTACTTGGGAGGCTGAAGTGGGAGGATTGCTTGAGCCTGGGAGTTGAGGCTGCAGTGAGCCATGTTTGTGCTACTGCACTCCAGCCTAAGCAACAGTGAGACCCTGTCTCAAAAAAGAGAAAGTTTAGTGCCAGGTGAGGTGGCTTACTCCTGTAATCCCAACACTTTGGGAGGCTGAGGCAGGTGGATCACCTGAGGTCAGGAGTTCGAGAGCAGCCTGGCCAACATGGTGAAACCCTGTGTCTACTAGAAATACAAAAATTAGCTGGGCATGGTGGCAGGCACCTGTAATCCTAGCTACCCCGGAGGCTGAAGGAGGAGAATCTCTCAAACACAGGAGGTGGAGGTTGCAGTGAGCCGAAATCGCACCATTGCACTCTAGCATGGGTGACAAGAGCAAGACTCCTTCTGAAAAAAAAAAAAAAAAAAAAAAAGTTTAAGAAGTTTTTGGACGTGCTCTACCATAACACGAGTAAACCAGCAGGAAGACATGAGATGCAAGGAACATAAGCGTCAACACAGGAAAGAGGCCATTAGAATTCCCATTTGATAGTGAAGGAAAGTTCTGAGGAAGCAGATATACATCGGGCGTGGAGAGTAGCTAGTCCAGATTGGGGCAGATGGGGTGAGGACCTTAGCAGGGGTGGCTTCCAGGAAAAAAAAAAAATGGAACTGATGGATATGATTGGTTTGGTCATATAGAAATTGATATTTAATAACTGGAATATTTAGCTTATGTATAAACCAACTTGCCAAATAAGGCAGCAGGAGTTGGTGGTGGAGGGCTAGGAAATCATTACTTTAGGAAAACCAAATTGTATAAGAAGGAGAATTAATCTTAATATTGCCTCTGCACTGAAAAAAAGTTACATAGTTATCAAAAATAAGAGGGAAAGATGGGTTAAAGAACCAACTTTTATTATGTCTTTAGTACTATTCAGTGTTTTAACAAGTTTCATTTATTTAATACAAATAAAACATTTTAAATACACAGCTTAAGTTCCAAAGCAGCTCTTTAGGGAAAAATAGTTTTTTTCGTATGGATATTTTCAAACATGCAAAAGCAAAAACTGTAGTAAAATGAGCCTCTATCTGTACTCCTCAACTTGCTTAAGTAGTTTCAAACATATGATCCATTTTATCAGTACTCTACCACACTAGATATTTTTGTCAAAAATCCCAAACATGTAATCTTATCCATGTTTCTTTAGTATTTTTCTCTATAAGGATTCTTTTTTTTTTTTTTTTTTGAAACAGAGTCTCACTCACCCAGGCTGGAGTGCAGTGGCATGATCTCAGCTCATTGCAACCTCTGTCTCCCAGGCTCAAGCAATTCTCATGCCTCAGCCTCTCAAGTAGCTGGGATTACAGGTGTGCACCATGACACCCAGCTAATTTTTGTATTTTTTAGTTAAAACAGGGTTTCATGATGTTGACCATGCTGTTCTCAAACTTCTAGCCTAAATTGCTCCACCTTCCCAAAGTGCTGGGATTATAGGAGTGAGCCACCACACCTGCCCATCTATAAGGATTCTTTAGTCATAACCACAATAGCATTGTCATATGAAAAAATGAACATTGATTCCTTAACAAAATCAAGTCTGAGGTCGGGCACCATGGTTCAGGCCTGTAATCCTTGGACTTTGGGAGGCTGAGGCAGGTGGATCACCTGAGGTGTGGTGTTCAAAACCAGCCTGTCCAACATGGAGAAACCCTGTCTCTACTAAAAATACAAAAAAATTAGCTGGGTGTAGTGGCGCATGCCTGTAATCCCAACTACTCGGGAGGCTGAGGCAGGAGAATCACTTGACCCTAGGAGGTAGAGATTGTGATGAATCAAGATTGTGCAAAAAAAAAAAAAATTAAGTCTGTATTCAGATTTTCCCACTTTTTCTTATACATGTCTTTTATATAGGCTTGTTCAAATTGGGATATAAAATCCCACACATCAGACAGCTTAGTTTTATTTTTACATCATACAAAAGCACATCCATCCTTAAACTTTGTTGGAATTGCAAGCTTGTCCACAATTTGCCCTGCAAAGTGAGGGTAGGGTACAAGTGCCCTACAAAAGACAAAAGATAAGATAATCCTTTTGGGTATAAGAAGAAAATTAGCATGTCTAAAAATAGTTGTAATATGATTTAATGTCCTTTCAGTTTTTTTTTTTTTTTTTTTTTGAGACAGATTCTTGCTCTGTCGCCCAGGCTGGAGTGCAGTGGTACCATCTCTGCTCGCTGCAGCCTCTGCCTCCCAGGTTCCAGCAATTCTTCTGCCTCAGCCTCCTGAGGAGCTGGGACCACAGGCGTGCACCACCACCCTCAGCTAATTTTTGTATATTTGAGAGAGACAGGGTTTCAGCATGTAGGCCCAGGCTATTCTTAAACTCCTGACCTCAGCTGATCTGCCCACCTTGACCTCCCAGAGTGCTGGGATTACAGGCGTGAGCCACCACGCCCAGTTAACATCCTTTTAGTTTCTATTTTTCGTGTATATTTAATATACAGAATATAATAGTACAGTGTTATATACTTTAGGAATTATACTAAATCTAGGTCCAGTCAGAAAATAGAAACCCTACATTGATCAGGAAAGTATACAATATAAAGAAGTATTAATTATACTGGGGGACTGGAGTAATGGATTGACAAGAAGTAAGGAGAACTCTAACAATATAAGAATGGCAGATATAAGGACCTGCCACCACTACCCTAGGGCCAAGACACATCACCCAGGGAAGACTTACCTCCAGGACTGAGATCTAGACCTTGTTGAATATGGCAAATGTGGCTCACCAGAAGGCAGAGAAATTACTTTGGCTTTTTGCTGGACTTGCTAGAAATCTGCTTACTGGAAAGGGCTGGCACTCTGGCTCTAGGGTTCTGGGGAAAGGTGTCTCTGGAAGTACCCTGCTAGAAAACTGCTTGACAGGGTAAAGTAGGGGGCCAGCCTCTGTGTACTGCAGGAGCAGCACTGGAGAAACTGCCCATTCTGCCCATGCTGAAGAAGCACCTGTGGATGCTGCAGGAGTCAGCTGAGCAAGCAAACTGGAACCAGGAAGCAAAACCTTTTCCTTCCTGTACTGTCTGTCCATCATCCTCTATTGACAAAGCTTATTTATTGGCAAGGAAAAAATATTTAAAGAGCCTAGAACCATTTTCATGAAGAAAGCAAAAAAGGTGAATTTGGAACTGAAAAGCTGTACATTGATAACAGGCACCGGGGTTGGTTGTTTTGTTTTTTCTTCTGGTAAGAGTCCACAATAATCAAAATGTTTGAGATACGGTAATGTCATATCTTCCCATTGAGTCTATAAACTGTTCCTTAACGGTGTTGGAGGCCATTGTTGTTCACAGTATATCTTTCATATAGTTACGTAGATGTGAGAGTGAGTTGGACAATAATGTCTATGGATAGCAGGGATATTGATCCTGTCTTATCAGCTTGCCAATTTTTTTTTAGGTTCTAATAAAGGTTACCAATTTTTAACTTGTAATTATTTGTCCTCTTCTAAAGTTTGCCTTTACACCTCTTCAAAGAGTTTAAGCAATTGCATAATTATGATGGGTGTATTCTCTTCCTCCTCAGCCTTTGTGCCTGTCTTTTTGCGAGATTAGTTTTCTTCTTCCATCTTAGACTATTCCCCAGGCTAACTCCTATTCATCCTTCACTTTTCATGCCACTTGCTCTAGGAAGTTTTCCTGACCCATCTAGAGTAAGTTAGGTGCTCTTCTGGTGTGGTCTAGGATCTTGTACTCTCTCAACTCACCGAATTGTAAATGCTTGTTTATGTGTATCAGCATTGCTCACCACCTCCACCTCTGGTGGAGGGCAGGAAATGCTTTGTTTTCCTCTTAATTCCTGAGGCTTAGCGCAATGCCTGTTACATGGTGAGTGTTTGTTAAAATTTGGAGTGAATAAAATGGATAGTAAAGGTGCTGTTTAGTTGGTTAGCAGTGGCAGGATCTAATAACATCCAATATATTTCATACTAAATTTTCAATATTTGTTGCAGAGTTTTTTAGTTAGTTTAGTTTTTTTTTTTTTTTTAACACTTAATTAAATTTATAGCAGTTGTCTAACAAGTATCAAAAACCACCTCGAAGCCTGGTGTGGTGGCTCATGCCTGTAATCCCAGCACTTTGGGAGGCCAAAGTGGGTGGATCACTAGAAGTCAAGACTTCAAGACCAGCCTGGCCAACATGACAAAACCCCATCTCTACTAAAAATACAAAAGTTGCAGGCATAGTGGCGCACCCCTGTAGTCCCAGCCACTTGGGAGGCTGAGGCAGGAAAATCACTTGAAACCAGGAGGAGGTTGCTGTGAGTCGGGATCACATCACTCACTCTAGCCTGGGTGACACAGCGAGACTCTGTATCTAAGAAGAAAAAAAAAACCCGCCTTGAAAAGTCTGCCTCTTTCTTTCAGGTTCCTTTTTTGCCAGGAGATTCAGACCTTGATCAGCTAACGAGAATATTTGAAACTTTGGGCACACCAACTGAGGAACAGTGGCCGGTAAGCCTTTATGCATTTTCTTTGAAATGTAATCAGGATTCTGTAAAGTTTTTAAATTGTCATATGCTTTATATAGTGCTGTCACATGAATATTAGACCTTTATTAATTATAATTTTCTTGTAATATGTACTCAGAATATTTTAAATTATCAAGTATGTAAAGTATAAAGTTAAATTGTGATATACCACCCAACCTCTTGTGTACCTGTAGTCCTTTTCCCTCAACCCAAGTAATCCCAAGCTCGGGGTAATCACTATTAACAATTCGGTGTAAAGCTGTGTTAGGAGTGTATACACATGCTACAAAATTAATTTTTGTATTTTTTTTTTATAGAGATGGGGTTTTACCATGTTGCTCAGGCTGGTCTCAAACTCCTAGACTCAAGCAGTTCTGTCTTGGCCTCTCACCGTGCTAGGATTACAGGCATGAGCCGTTGCACCTGGCTAACATGATTTTCTAAATAGTAATTGCTTACTGATGTTTCTCTTCGATTTTTTAAAAATTAAACTTCTTGGTGGGGTGTGGTGGCTCACGCCTGTAATCCCAGCACTTTGGGAGCCTGAGGTAGGCAGATCACTTGAGGCCAGGAGTTTGAGACCAGCCTGGGCTACAGAGCAAGACTCTGTCTCCAGAAAAAAAAAAAAATTAAACTTCCTATTTTGAGAATGTTATATATTCGCATGCAATTGTGAATATATAATTCACAATTATATATTGTGGCTGGGCACAGCTGCTCACGCCTGTAATCCCAGCACTTTGGGAAGCTGAAGTGAGTGGGTTCACTTGAGCCCAGGGGTTTAAGACCAGGATGGATATACCATCCAACCTAGTGGATGGGCAACATAGTGAGACTTCATGTCTACAAAACATAAAAATTAAAAAAAAAAAAAATAGCCAGGCATAGTGGTGCACACATGTGGTCCCAGCTACTCAGGAGGCTGATGTAGGAGGATCGCTTGAGCCCGGGAGGTCAACGCTGCAGTGAGCTGTGATTGTGCCACTGTGCTCCAGCCTGAGTAACAGAGTGAGTCCCTGTCTCAAAATAATAATAGTAATACTCCAGACATATTTCACCTACCCTTTACCCAGCTTTTAAAGATGGGAGCACCTTGTAAAATCGGTACAGTTATCACACCAGGATGTTACAGTCAAGATGCAGAATATCACCACAAGAATCTCTCATGGTATTCTTCTATAGCTATGCTCACTTTCCTCTTACCCACTCCTTAACTCTTGGCAATCACTAAATCTGTCCTCTAGCTCTGTAATTTTGTCATTTCAAGACTCTTACGTAAATGGATAAATGGAATCACACAATATATAACTTTTTGGGATTAACTTTTTCATACCCTTCATAATAGAAATTCATTCTCTTTTTTTTTTTAACTGGCTAGTATTGTGTGGATTTATTTCACAGTTTGTTCAACCATTCACCCATTGAAGGACATCTGTATTTATGTTGTTCCCAATGTGGGGCTATTATCAATAAATATGCTATAAACATTCATGTACAGTTTTTTATGTAAGAATAAGTTTTTATGTCTCTGGGACAAATTACCCAGGAGTTCAGTTCTTGATTGATATGGTAGTTACATACTAATTTTTAAAGCAACCTGCAAAACTCCAGAGCAGCTATACCATTTTATATTCCCACTGGCAGTAAATGAATGCTCCAGTTTCTCAGAATCCTCTCCAGCATTTGGTGTTGTCACTTTTTAATTGTAGGCACTCTGATGAGTCTGTCATGATAGCTCATTTTGATTTTAATTTTCACTGCCCTGATAATGGCTAATGGTGTTAAATTATCTTTTCATGTGTCTATTTGCCATCTTTAGTTAAATGGCTCTTCCTGTCTTTTCCCCATTTTCTGATTGGATTCTTTGATTTTTGACTGTTGAGTATTGAGAGCTCTTCATATATTTTAGAGAGTAGTCCAAAAATTATATGTAGTTTGCAGATGTTTTCCCTTGTGCTGCCTTTTCATCCTCTGCAAAATTGTAATCAGGTTTGTCACTTTTTCTTTAATTGATCAATCCTTTTGGTGTCAAGTCAAAGAACTCTTGCCCAACCCAAAGATTTTCCTGACAATTTTTTTTTTTTTCGAGACAAGATCTGGCTCCATTGTCTGGGCTGGAGTGCAGTGGTGTGCATGACCTCAGCTCACTGTAATCTCCACCTCCCGGGCTCAAGCCATTCTCCCACCTCAGCCTCCTGAGTAGCTGGAACTGTAGGCATGCACCACAACGCCCAACTAGTTTTTGTATTTTTTGTAGAGACAGGGTTTTTGCATGTTCCCCAGCCTGGTCTCAAACTCATGAACTCAAGCAATTTGCCCGCCTTGGACTCCCAAAATGTTGGGATTACAGGCAATAATCTACTGTGCCCTGGCCATGACAATTTTTTTGTATTTTTTTCTACAAGCTTTGTAGTTTTACACTTGAATCCAAGATCTCTTTAGAATTTATCTTTATATGATGTGTGAGACTTAGGGCAAGGTTTGGTTTTTGTTTTTGTTGTTTTTTGAGACGGTCTTACTCCATTGCCCAGGCTGGAGTGGAAATCTCACTTTCTTGTCCAGGCTGGTCTCGAACTCCTAAGCTCAAGTGACCCTCCTGCCTCAGACTTCCAAAGTGCTGGGAATACAAGCGTGAACCACCACACCCAGCCAGGTTCAGATTTTTGCCTGTATATGTCCAAGTGCTACAGCACTATGTGTTGAAAAGACTGTCTCTTTATCTAGTTTTTCACTTTTTTATTTCCTTATTTAAAAAAAAAAAAAAAAGATACTTCTGAGAGGTAAGTTTTTTACTTTTTTCAAAAATCCTTTTGGCAGATTTGTGTGGATTTCTAAGTCCTTTATTGGGTTCCTTTATTGATTAAGTCCTTTCTAAGTCTGATTTGTGTATCTGTTTCTCCCCCAGCACAACACAGTCTTAATTAAATTAGCTATATGTTAAATCTTGAAATCAGGTAAAATGAGTCCTCCCACTTTATTGTTCTTTTTCAAAATCATTTTAGCTACTGTAGTCCTTTGTCTTTGTATATTATAGAATAATTGGTCTTATATCTAAAATAATTTTGCCAGGATTTTGATAAAAATTACATCTAACTTGCAAATCAATTTGAGGGGAATTAACATCCTTCCTCTGTTGAATATTCCAATATGTGAACATGGTATGTTTCACCATTTATTGAGATCTTTGGATTTGTTTCATTAGCATTGTATAGCTTCTAGTATATTACCCTATACATGTTTTGTTACATTTTTCACCTGTTTTATTTTTCTTTTTGGGGTGATTATAAATAGTACTGTGTTTTAAATTTTGATGTCCATACATTCGTTGCTAGTATAATGAATTAAAATTGTTTTAATTTTTATTTTGTATCCTTCCAGGCTTGCCTTATTACTAGTTCTAGGACTTTTTAATAGAGTTCTTGGAATTTTCTACATAAACCATCATATCACCTGAGAATATGATTTATTTCATTTGAGATCTACCTGCCTTTTAACCTTCAGTTTGAATTATAAAATTATTTTTACAGGACATGTGTAGTCTTCCAGATTATGTGACATTTAAGAGTTTTCCTGGAATTCCATTGCATCATATCTTCAGTGCAGCAGGAGACGACTTACTAGATCTCATACAAGGCTTATTCTTATTTAATCCATGTGCTCGAATTACGGCCACACAGGTATTTTACTGTATCTTTTTTATACTAGGAAATATAAAAATAATCTTAACTGTAGCATTAATAAAAATAAAATTTCATAAAATTAACCTTTTTTAAATACTGGAAAGATGTGTTTTTGTTTGTTTTAGGAAATATCAAAATTTGTATTTTTTCCCCAAACTACAAACACTGTTAAGACTGAGATTAAGTTATACGCACACAGAGATATAGGAGAGTTTACACTTAATACGCTTGCTTAGGAACATATAAATACATATCTATTTCATATAATTGGTTTGTAAGTACTTTACCTAGAGAGGAAAAGAAAACCAAGGCTTTTTATTAGTTAAGAAACTGGTATATTTCAGTTGCACTCTTACAACTTCATTTAAATCTTGTAGCAAGCCTAATGCTGAAAGTAATTTATTCAGCTTATTTTTTCTTCCCTATATAATATAATCTAGGTATGCATGCTGGTCATTTTCACATTCAGAAAATGGTATAATCAGATATAATTGTATGCTTACAAGAGCTTGAAAGATACTCAGAATAAAACAAAAACTGAAACCAACTGCTATTTAAAGGAAAGAACAATGAAACTCATGAAAAATTTGTAGGGCCTAGAATAACTTAGGGCAGAGCATTGTACAACACAATACAGTGATTTTTACCTGATGAAGGGAGAGACTAATTAAAGTGAAGTATCACAAGCCTTTATGGAAACATATTAATGTACAGTAATAGTAAGGATACAAAATAGATTTTGCACCCCGTCTTAGGTTTGTTCCAGGCTACAAAATCATTGTTTAATGCATTTGCTTGTATAAGCATTCTCTTTTTAGAAATATGTGCTATGTGTATATAGAAATGGATGGACGGATGGATGGATGGATGGATGGATGGATGGATGGATGGATGCTGGGTATTTACCATTAGAATGACTCTTCTAATTTCTTTTTTTTTTTTTTAATTTTTCTTTGTTATTTTTATGTCCATATGTACACATGCTCTTCTAATTTAAGACAAGTAATTTGTTGCCTTTTCACTCATACTTCTATGTATATAATTTCCATCATAATAAACTTGAGACCACATTTAATTATCTAGAAAGTTGTTTTCATTGGGAGTATAGTTTGAAACTTACAGAAAAATACTAGTTGTTATATTTGGGTTGTATTTTAATAGGATGAAGTTTTTAAAGTGAGTTTTTGTATCATGGATGTCTTTTTTTTTTTTTTTTTTTTTTTTTTTTTTTTTGAAAGGAGTTTTACTCTTGTTACCCAGGCTGGAGTGCAATGGCGCGATCTCGGCTCACCGCAACCTCCGCCTCCTGGGTTCAGGCAATTCTCCTGCCTCAGCCTCCTGAGTCGCTGGGATTACAGGCACGCGCCACCATGCCCAGCTAATTTTTTGTATTTGTAGTAGAGACAGGGTTTCACCATGTTGACCAGGATGGTCTCGATCTCTTGACCTCGTGATCCACCCGCCTCGGCCTCCCAAAGTGCTGGGATTACAGGCTTGAGCCACCGCGCCCGGCCCGGATGTCTTTATTAAAGTTGGAATGAGTTACTTTCTTAGATATTTATCATGTCACCCAGAATTAGCCTAATTTGCATATAGGACCACTGTGATTTAGAAGTAATGCTTTAAAAATCCAGCTGTGGGCCGGGCACAGTGGCTCGCACTTGTAATCCCAGCACTTTGGGAGGCCAAGGAGCAAGGATACTTTGAGCCCAGGAATTGGAGCCCTGGGCAACATGACATCAGCTCTGCAATAAATAAATAAATAAATTTTAAAATGCAACCATTTAAGTAAGAAATCTCTAAATGACTGAAAATAATATAATACTGGGGACAGTGGGAATGCTTGAAAAGTTTATATGGGCTTCATTCTTCTTTCTTAAAGGATTATCCTAAAGGAAGTAATTTTATTTATTTATTTATTTATTTGACGAAGTCTTTCTCTGTCACCCAGGCTGGAGTGCAGTGGTGTGATCTTGACTCACTGCAACCATCAGCTCCCAGGTTCAAGTGATTCTCCTACCTCAACTTCCCTAGTAGCTGGGATTACAGGCGTATACCACCACACCCAGCTAATTCTGTATTTTTAGTAGAGACAGAGTTTCACCATGTTGGCCAGGCCGGTCTCCAACTCTTGATCTCAGGTGATCCATCTGCCTTGGCCTCCCAAAGTGCTGGGATTACAGGCATGAGCCACCGTACCTGGCCAGAAGTATTTTAAATCATTGTGGCCACTGGACAGCACTATGCTGCTGATGTAAATAGACAAGCGTGTGAACCCAGGAGGCAGAGGTTGCAGTGAGCCGAGATTGCACCACGGAACTCCAGCCTGGGTGACAGAGTGAGACTCTATATCAAAACGAAACAAAACAAAAAAGACAAGCATGACCTGACAAACTTGTCATTTAGGACATAACTCTTTTTATCAGAATTGTGGACCCAACTCAAGAAACCGTCATATCTTACAGCACTGTAGTAGGGGAAAAAGAAGAGAAAATATATCATAAAACATTGGCCTGGTAATTAATAGAAATTATCTTGGACAAGCCCTTCCAAGTAAAATTTCTGTCCATTTGCAGTGGATTGTTGAATTAGAATTCATTGCTTCTAACCTGTATTTTTTTAAAAGCCTTATTTTTTTAAGAATTTATATTTTACATGACTTGGAATTTGAATATATATGGATAGTGTGACAAACTTGTAAGTTCCTTTTAAGTAAGTTTCTCTCTTTGCATTTTGAACTGTAGAGCTCAATATGTAGAGAATGGAAATATATAATATTTCACTTAGGGTAGCTCATAATTAGTTTAGGTTGAGCATCCCTAATTCAAATATCCAAAATCTGAAATGCTCCAAAATCCAAAACTTTTTGAATGCTGACATGATGCCACCAGTGGAAAATTCAACACATATGGACATTAACACAAACTGTAAAAATTAAAAATTTTGTCAAATTAAAAATATTGTATAAAACTGCCTTCAGAGGCCGGGCGCGGTGGCTCAAGCCTGTAATCCCAGCACTGTTGGAGGCCGAGGCAGGTGGATCACGAGGTCAAGAGATCGAGACCATCCTGGTCAACATGGTGAAACCCCGTCTCTACTAAAAATACAAAAAATTAGCTGGGCATGGTGGTGCGTGCCTGTAATCCCAGCTACTCAGGAGGCTGAGGCAGGGGAATTGCCTGAACCCAGGAGGTGGAGGTTGCGGTGAGCCGAGATCGCGCCATTGCACTCCAGCCTGGGTAACAAGAGCGAAACTCCATCTCAAAAAAAAAAAAAAAAAAAAAGAGATATTCAGTCTATGTAGGCTATTTAATTAAGGAAAAATTAGAAGGGAGTCTCTTTTTTTTTTTTTTTTTTTTTTTTTTTTTGAGGGGGAGCCTTTTTCTGTGTCGCCTAGGGTGGGGTGCAATGGTGTAATCTCAGCTCACTGCAACCTCCACCTCCCGGGTTCAAGTGATTTTCCTGCCTCAGCCTCCCAAGTTGCGGGGACTACAGATGTGCACCACCACACCTGGCTAATTTTTGTATTTTTAGTAGAGACGGGGTTTCTCCATGTTGGCCAGGCTGATCTCAAACTCCTGACCTCATGTGATCTGCCCACCTCAGCCTCCCAAAGTACTGGGATTACAGGCGTGAACCACTGTGCCTGAACAGTCTTTTTCTTATAGAAATGGAATTATCAACCAATCTTAGGATCCTAGATGTTTATTTTTATTAATTTGCATTTGCAAATACACTTGACATTGTGTTTTGTTTTTGGGAATGAGGGCGTTTGCATAGTATTTTTAATGTTCCCTATAATCTTGAGGGTGAGATTTTCCTTCACACATTTCAGGTACTCACCTACCTTACTTTTGGTATCTTTTCTTTTGAAAGGCACTGAAAATGAAGTATTTCAGTAATCGGCCAGGGCCAACACCTGGATGTCAGCTGCCAAGACCAAACTGTCCAGTGGAAACCTTAAAGGAGCAATCAAATCCAGCTTTGGCGACAAAAAGGAAACGAACAGATGCCTTGGAACAAGGTAAGATTCCCACTTTTATAAGAAATTAAATGAATTCAGAAAACTCCAAATAGTTCACGTATGTCTAGCAACTGAACAACAGCAAAGAAGTGTAGCTTGCTGGCTATTTAATTTTTACAAATTTAAATTATATGAAGTAGAGAGACTGTGCTGTTTTAGGTATGTTTATTTTCATTGAGAATACTTCAGGCACTTTTATGTATACCTCAGAATTATGAGAACTATCTATGTGTACCTTGTTCCCTTCATAAATCCCGTCTGTAAACTGTATGCTAAATGTTTAAGAAGGGCTGTTGGAAAAATCTGTCAGCGAAATAAAATAATGTAGGTGGAAGCAGTGACTGGTTAAAATTGCTGTGAGAATGTGAACTTTGTTAAATGTGAACAACTTTTTTTTTTTTCTTTTTGCTTTCTAGGAGGATTGCCCAAGAAACTGATTTTTTAAAGAGAACATTAGACAACATTTTACTACTGAAAGAAATAGTCAAAAAGGCAAATAATAGAAAAATAGTAAGCATTAAGTGATTTTGTAGAAGTGATTTTGTAAATATTCTACACATGTAAAATATGTAAAACTATGGGTTATTTTATTAAATGTATTTTAAAATAAAAGTTCTGTTTTTTTCTGAGTAGAGTGCAAAAGTGAGAAAAGTTCAATTCTCTTGAAATGTAGAATTGAAAACGCATTAGGGAAAACTTAATGCAAATTATTACCAGCTATTTTGAAGATCTGGCCCATATAGCATCACAAATCTGTAGTAGCGTTGGTAGTGTTTAAAAATAGAAAGGTAGGCCAGGCGTGGTGGCTTACACCTGTAATCCCAGTACTTGGAGAGGCCAAGGTGGGCAGATCACCTGAGGTCAGAAGTTTGAGACCAATCTGACTAACATGGAGAAACCCTGTCTCTACTAAAGAAAAAAAAATACAAAATTAGCCAGGCGTGGTGGCACGTGCCTGTAATCCCAGCTACTCGGGAGGCTGAGGCAGGAGAATCACTTGAACCCAGGAGGTGGACGTTGCGGTGAACTGAGATCAAGCCACTGCACTCCAGCCTGGGCAACAAGAGTGAAACTCTGTCTCAAAAAAAAAAAAAGGAAAGAAAAAAATAGAAATGTTAGTAATGGTATAGTAAATACTACCCAAACTTAACAAATATTAATATACTGAATGTACTTAAAGAAAACATTACAGATAAAATTGAGGTTCCCCCTCAACCTTTTTTCTGAGGAGGGGACAAAGTCTCACTGTCACTCAGGGTGGAATGCAGTGGTATACTCCCGGCTCACTGCAACTTCTGCCTCCCAGGGTCAAGCGATTCACTTCCCGAACTGCTGGGATTATGGGCACGCACCACTACACCTGGCTTTTGTTTTTTGAGATGGAGTCTTGCTCTGTTGCCCAGGCTGAAGTGCAGTGGCGCCATCTTGGCTCACTGCAACCTCTGCCTCTCGGGTTCAAGTGCTTCTCCTGTCTCAGCCTTCCGAGTAGCTGGGACTACAGGCATGCACCACCATGCCCGTCTAATTTGTCTGCAGTAGAGATGGGGTTTCACTATGTTGCCCAGGCTGGTCTTGAACTCCTGACCTTGTGATCAGCTCACCTCAGTCTCCCAAAGTGCTGGGATCACAGGCATGAGCCACTGCGCCCGGCCTTAAATTTTATTTTTATTTTTTTGTTATATAGATGAGAGGTTTCTATGTTGCTCAGGTTGGCCTTGAACACATAGACTCGCCTCCTTGTGCGCCAGGACAACAGGCCTGAGCCACCGCAGCTCCCTAATTTTTTATATTTTTAGTCGAGACAGGGTTTCACCATGTTGGCCAGGCCGGCTTCAAATTCCTGACCTTAAGTGATCTGCCCACTTTGGTTTCCAAAAGTGCTGGGATTACAGGCATGAGCCACTGCACCTGGCCAAGGGGTCCCCCCTAAATACTTCCTTTTATTTCTATTTTTTTCCTTTCACTCTCCCCAAAGGGAAATGACTCTTATGAAATTGGTGTGTATCTTTCCGTGATTTTATGCTGCTATTCTGTAAGAATGCATGTAGTAAGATGTATAACAATGTACAGCATTGTTTTGGGTCTCAAAATTGTATATAAATTGATGGAATCTCTGTTTCCTTTTTTTTTTGTGAGAGTCTTGCAGCCTCGAACTCCTGGGCTCAAGCCATCCTCTCACCTCAACCTCCCCAGTAGCTGCAACTACAAGTGAACATCACCATGCCTGGTTTTTTTTTTTTTTGTTTTTTTTTAAATGAGACAGAGTTTTGCTCTTGTTGCCCAGGCTGGAGTGCAGTGGTGCAATCTCAGCTCACTGCAACCTCTGCCTCCTGGAGTTCAACCCATCCTCCTGCCTCAGCCTCCCACGTAGCTGGGATCACAAGTGTGCATCACCATGCCCAGCTAATTAAAGTAACACAAATGTATTAGCTCACAGTTCTGTAGGTCATATATCTGGCTCAGCTGTGTTTTCTGCTTAAGGGACTCTCAAGGCCAAAATCAAGGTGTCAGTCAGACTACACTTATTTGGAGGCCCCTGAAAAGAATCTGCTACCAAGCTCATGCTTTTTTTTTTTTTTGAGACAGTCTTGCTCAGGCGCTAGGCTGGAGTGCAGTGGCGCGGTCTTGGCTAACTGCAACCTCCGCCTCCCAGGTTCAAGCAATACCCCTGCCTCAGCCTCCCAAGTAGCTGGGACTACAGGTGCGCACCACCATGCCCAGCTAATTGCTGTATTTTTAGTAGAGATGGGGTTTCACCATGTTGGCCAGGATGGTCTCGATCTCTTGATCCACCCGCCTTGGCCTCTCAAAGTGCTGGGATTACAGGCGTGAGCCACCACACCTGGCCATGCAGTTCTTATAGTTGTAATTCTTGTGCTCCATTGCCCGCATTTCCCTTTTGACTGTTAGCCCAAGGCCTCTCTCAGCTTCCTTTTTTTTTTTTTTTTTTTTTTTTTTTTGATTGGGGAGTTTCGCTTTTTTTACCCAGGCTGGAGTGCAATGGCGCGATCTCGGCTCACCGCAACCTCCGCCTCCTGGGTTCAGGCAATTCTCCTGCCTCAGCCTCCTGAGTAGCTGGGATTACAGGCACGCGCCACCATGCCCAGCTAATTTTTTGTAGTTTTAGTAGAGACGGGGTTTCACCGCGTTGACCAGGATGGTCTCGATCTCTTGACCTCGTGATCCACCCGCCTCGGCCTCCCAAAGTGCTGGGATTACAGGCTTGAGCCACCGCGCCCGGCCTCTCTCAGCTTCTTAAAAGGAAGCTTCCATGCCTTTGTCCGGTGGCACTCATCATCATCTATTAGCCAGCTGCGGTGCATCAAACTTGCTTGTGCTTCAGATCTGTCTGATTTCCTCATCTGCAGCCAAGCAGCTAAAGGTCCAGGAGATAATAGTGACAAAGTCATCTGAGGATGCTCATAAAATGTGTCTCAGATATGAGGCAGGATAGGAGTGTATTAGTCCATTCTAACACTGCTATAAAGATACTACCGAAGACTGAGCAATTTATAAAGGAAATAGGTTTAAATGACTCTCAGTTCTGCATGGCTGGGGGGGCCTCAGAAACCCTACAATCCTGGCAGACGGGGAAGCAGGCACGTTTTACATGGTGGCAGGAGAGAGTGTGTGTGTGAGCACAGGAAAAACTACCATTTATAGAACCATCAGATCTCCTGAGAATTCGCAATCATGGGAACACCACCCCCATGGTCCAGTCACCTACCACCGGGTCCCTCCTTCAACACATGGGGGTTATGGGGATTACAATTCAAAATGAGACTTGAGTGGGGACACACCCAAACCATATCAGGTAGTGAAGGAAATGACCATGTTCTCATGACCATACAGCCAACACAATAAACCTCAGCACTCACACTGTATTTGAGCTCATTCAAGCAAAGCTATCTTCAGTAGGGACTTTCCCTTCTAGAAAGCATCCACATTTTGATTTTACCTGTCCTCAAACTGACCCTTTGCACATTGTAATAGTAAACACACCCCTAGGTAGAAATTTAAGTTACTAATGAGACGTGATGTATGAAGAAGCATGAAGAGCTACTGCGCCTGTACAGAGGACCACCCAGCACGTGGGTACTAGCAACACCTCTTCTCACCTCCTTATGAAGAATCATGCAAAACTCTCATAAAGGGAGTTTCTCCAGCAATAATCAATGCTGTCTCACCCTTATGAGGAGCCAGCCCTGAATTCTCTCTCAGGGTTTACTGTCTATTCTGTACCTACCTTTTATTTTGCAGTAACTTATGCTATATCTCCTTGGTTGTGTCTTGTTTAAATTCTTTTAAACCAAGAGACAAGAACTGAGGTATCACAGCAGCTGTCAACACATGCATTTTGCCTTATTCATTTGCTATCTATCTCTTGGATGGACCTCTCCATTTTGTAGAGTATTCCATTGTATGGCTGTACAATAATTTAAACAGTTTGTACTGATGGCCTTTCTACTTTTGATACCGGGGTCTCTGTCACTCAGGCTGGAGTGCGGTGGCATGATCACAGCTCACTGTAGCCTCAAGCTCCTGGGCTCACGCCATCCTCCTCCTCAGACCCCTGAGTAGCTGAGATAACAAGTGCACGCCACCATGCCTTGCTGATCTTTTGTACAGATGGGGTTTCATCATGCTGCATAGGTTGATCTTAAACTCTGGACTGGCTGGACTCGAGATCCAGACCCACTGCACCCAGCCTTGATAGCCATTTGTTTTTATAAGCAGAGCAGCAATTAGTAGCCATTCAAGATACCCATGCACAAGCCTACAAGAAAGAAATTCATACATAGGTACAGGATAAAATCAAAAAGCTCATACTGGGTCAAATATGAGCCTTGTAAATTTTTAAAAACATTTTTATTATAAAATATCAAAGGTGTGATGGTTCACACCTGCAATCCCAGCACTTTGGGAGGCTGAGGCAGGAGGATCCTTTGAGGCCAGGAGTTTGGGACCAGCCTGAGTAACACAGTGAGACCCCATCTACACACTCACACCCACACCCCAACTCAATACCACAAAAAAACACCTTGGCTCAGGCGGCTTCTTCAGACTCCTGAGACCCCATTTCCTGGATCATCACAACCATCTCACAGGATGCAATGAGAAGAGCTGTTTAGCACTTTGTAGACTTGGCTACAAATCTGTGCAAATTTGACTACAAAATGTTACTACCCTGACAAGAAAAGAAGCCATGAAGGTAGCCAGCAATGACAATATACTTCTGCCGAGGTCCCACCATCATAACTGTCTTATTGAAGTTAAGGAAATCATTTCTTTTTTTTTTTTTGAGACGGAGTTTTGTTCTACTTGCCCAGGCTGGAGTGCAGTGGCAAGATCTCGGCTCATGGCAACCAACCTCTGCCTTCCAGGTTCAAGCAATTCTTCTGCCTCAGCCTCCCAAATAGCTGGGATTACAGGCACCTGCCACCACGCCTGGCTAATTTTTGTATTTTTAGTAGAGACAGGGTTTCACCATGTTTACCGGGCTGGTCTTAAACTCCTGACCTCAAGTGATACACCCACCTCAGCCTCCCAAAGTGCTGGGATTATAGGTGTGAGCTACCACGCCTGGCCAGAAATTATTTATTTATTTATTTAGAGACAGAGTTTCGCTCTTGTTGCCCAGTCTGGAGTGCAATGTTGTGATCTCCGCTCACCGCAACCTCTGCCTCCCAGGTTCAAGCGATTCTTCTGCCTCAGCCTCCTGAGCTTTTTTTTTTTTTTTTCCCTTTTGAGACGGAGTTTCACTCTTGTTACCCAGGCTGGAGTACAATGGCGTGATCTTGGCTCACCACAACCTCCACCTCCTGGGTTCAGGCAGTTCTCCTGCCTCAACCTCCTGAGTAGCTGGGATTACAGGCACACGCCACCATGCCCAGCTAATGTTTTGTATTTTTAGTAGAGACGGGGTTTCAACATGTTGACCAGGATGGTCTCGATCTCTTGTCCTTGTGATCCACCCGCCTCGGCCTCCCAAAGTGCTGGGATTACAGGCTTGAGCCACCACGCCCAGCCCTGAGTGTTCTAAACTTTATATGGTAAATAAAAAATACTGAACAAGGCAAATAAAACAAGATAAATGTATTCCAAGAATTAATATTCAATCACTCTTAGGTACTGTTACTTCTTAGAGCATTAAGATACTTTGCTATATTGTTGATTTAGCCAATCTAAGATCCCAATAGTCAATCAGAATAAAGTTTTTTTGTTTTAGAATATTTACACACATCGTAATGTAATTTTTTTCTTTTTTGAGATGGAGTTCCTCTCTTGTGGCCCAGACTGGGGTGCAATGGCCTGATCTTGGCTCACTGCAACCTCCGCCTCCCAGGTTCAAGCTATTCTACCTCAGCCTCTGGAGTAGCTGAGATTACAGGCACCTGCCACCATGCCTGGCTGATTTTTTTTAGTAGAGACTGGGTTTCTCCATGTTAATCAGGCTGGTCTTGAACTCCCAACCTCAGGTGATCCACCAGCCTCGGCCTCCCAAAGTGCTAAAATTACAGGCGTGAGCTACCACACCTGGCCTGTAATGTAATTTAAATAAAATGTCAATACTAATAAATTTCTTATAGAAAATGTAGAAAATAGGTTGGGTGCGGTGGCTCATACCTGTAATCCCAACACTTTGGGAGGCCAAGGCAGGCGGATCACTTGTCAGGCATTTGAGACCAGCCTGGCCAATATGGTAAAACCCCATCTCTACTAAAAATACAAAAATTAGCCAGGAACAGTGGCACGCGCCTGTAATCCCAGCTACTCAGGAGGCTGAAGCAGAATTGCTTGAACCGGGAGGCAGAAGTTGCAGTGAACCGAGAGCATGCCACTGCACTCCAGCCTGGGCGACAGAGTGTGACTCCATTTCAAAAAAAACAAAAGAAAAAATGTAAAAAACATTTAAACTACCTCCTAAAATTTAGAAATACCTAGGAAACATACAACTTCTCAAGATGCAGCATCATTTACCCAATCCTTTTTCAGAGTCTCTTAATATAAATAACTCAGTTCTAATTTCAACTGGCTTGTCTTTAAAATATGATACTTGATGGCAAAGAATGGGATCTTTTCAGAGTTCTGTAGTTTGTATCTATTTGAGAGTGCTGGATTGAACACATGCAGCCCATAGAATTTAAAATGTGAATACTTGAATGTACAGCATCACCTAAAACAGACAATTCTGAAGTCTTATGCCAAGCGTTGTTGAAAGGGAAATTCTCTTTCATAGGATTTTTTTCTTTATTCTCTTTTGAGGCAGTGTCTTTGTCTTCTAATGCCCGAGCAAGCATGTAACTAACTTTTCTTTGATGAGCCAAAGCTTCTTCTTTATCATTCAGCTGCATGCACAGAAATTAAATATGTACAAGTTAGTATATCACAGAATATATTCAGAGAAAGTATTGTACTATTTTATCAAAATGTTCGACCCTAATATTCATACTGATCTGTCCACCAATATGAATAAATTAGGTATCGCCTGATCCCCAAATATTATACATGTTATTGACAATTCTTTGTTTTTTTTTAAAGACAGGATCTGGCTGTGTCACCCAGGTTGGAATGCAGTGGTGCCATCTTGGCTCACTGCAGCCTCCGCCTCCCAGGCTCAAGCGATTCTCCTGCCTTGGCCTCCCAAGTAGAGCAGCTGGGACTACAGGCATACACCACGACACCTGGCTAATTTTTGTATTTTTAGTAGAGATGGGGTTTCACCATGTTGGTCAGGCTGGTCTCAAACTCCTGGCCTCAAGTGATCCACCTGCCTCAGTCTCCCAAAGTGCTGGGATTACAGGTGTGTGCCACCATGCCAGGCCGATAACCTTTTTTTTTTTTTTTTTTTTTTTAGACACAGTCTCACTCTGTTACTCAGGCTGGAGTGCAGTGGCACAGTCTTGGCTCACTGCAACCTCCGCCTCCCAGGCTCAAGCAATTCTCCTGCCTCAGCAGGTTCCACACCACCACGCCTGACTGATTTTTTTATATTTTTAATAGAGACGGGGTTTCACCGTGTTGGCCAGGATGGTCTCAATCTCCCGACCTCGTGATCCCCTGCCTCCCAAAATGGTGGAATTACAGGAGTGAGCCACCCCACCTGGCTGGTTCTTTTTTAAAAGAACAGAAGACAGTATTGAAAATTTTTCAAGTCATCTGAAAATGAAGGGAAAAGGTAGATCTATATGAAGTGTGTATTTTATATAGATATATAACATATAAAAAATATATCAACGTGCATATTTCTAAAAGAATGCCGAAGTTATTTATATGTAAAATTGCTTTCATATATTTGTATGCAAATAAATTAACATTCTAAAGATAAGTATGTTCATATAACTTGAGTCTCAGTGTCTTAATTGAGTCATCTGTGGAATGTGGGTGGCAGGACTGATTTCAGGTTGTGATGGTGATTAAGGGATATAATGTGTGAGGAAATGCCTTGAGCACTTTAGAAGGCAAGTGCAAGTCTAGAGAGATAAAGAGCTGAATGAACAGGAAGCAAATAGATTAGCTTAACCCAGGGGTGTCCAATCTTTTGGCTTCCCTGAGCCACAATGGAAGAAGAATTGTCTTGTGTCACACATAAAATACATTAACACTGGCTGGGTGCAGTGGGTCACGCCTATAATCCCAGCACTTTGGGAAGCTGAGGCGAGCAGATTACTTGATGTCAGGAGTTCGAGACCAGCCTGGCCAACAGGGTGTAACCCTGTCTCTACTAAAAACACACACACACAAAATTAGCCAAGCATGGTGGTGGGTGCCTGCAGTCCCAGCTACTTGGGAGGCTGAGGCAGGAGAACTGCTTGAACCCAGTAGGTGGAGGCTGCAGTAAAGAGAGATCACACCACTGTACTCCAGCCTGGGCGACAGAGTGAGACTCTGTCTCAAACAAACAAACAATCTCAAAAAAAACTCACAATTTTTTTTTTTTTTTTTTTTTAAGATGGGGTTTCACCATGATGGCCAGGCTGGTCTTAAACTCCTGACCTCAGGTGATCCACCCACCTCGGCCTCCCAAAGTGCTAGGATTACAGGTGTGAGCCACCGTGCCCGGCCCCTCATAATGTTTTAGGAAAATTTATGAATTTGTGTTGGGCCACATTCACAGCTGTCCTGGGCTGCATGCAGCCTGCAGACTGTGGGTTGGACAAGCTTGGCTTAACCACAACCTGCAAAAAAAAGAAAGCAAAGATACTAACCAAATCTATGAGCATCTTAAGGACCTCCTGAGGACTGTCCTGATCTTCCATCCTCTTAGAACTGTTTTCTGAAGGCAGCATACCCAAGAGTCTCTGCCCAAAGGTCTTCTTACTCTTTGATGATAGAGATCCTAAAATTGAACATGAAAATCCAGCTGAGACATTAAAATACCTTCACTGATATTCTCCCAGCAAAAGAGGTAGCTACAAATTAAGGCTTATTAATTCCTAAGTCAGCCTGGAGGTTGTCCTCTTCAGGAGACCTCTAGGACACGTGAGTCTGGCAGCACAGTGGGCTGTGGTAGGCAGAGCACAGCCTACAGAGCCAGGAGCAGCGCAGATGAGAGACAGCAAGAGTGCCACCCTGCTATGTGGCACAGCCGCCCCTCCACGCCAGCTGATGCAGAGGCCACACAGGAATGCAGTGCATGTCACGGGATCATCGCAGTCTTCAAGAGCAGCCAGAAATGCAGATCTGTCATGACATCTTCCGAACCTAAATGTCAGCCACTAGTCTTATTTTTGAATCCACTATGCAGACCTAACAAAACATGTCTGCAGGCCACAGAAGCCCTCTGAACCATGCAAACTCTGCTTCAGAACCAAAAAGACCTGAACTTGAATCCTCGTTTAGCCACTTAATAACTGTATGACCTGGGACGAGTTTTCTCAGCTTTATTTCCTCGTCTCCACAATGAGAATAGCATTACCTTCTTCTCAGGGAACTATGCCATTAAATAATAAATCACAGGGGCTGGGGGAGGGGAAATGGGGAGTTACTCTTTCACAGTACAGGGTCTCTTAAAGAAAGAGGAAAATGTTCTGGAGCTGGATGGTGATGATGTTTACATTACAATGTGAATGTACTTAATGCCACTTAAACAGTTCAAATGGTAAACTTTAGATATATTTTACCACCACAACAAAAAAAATACCAGAACTGTCAAAGGCCCTCCCCAGGTATTAGCATAATATTTAATATCTCACATGCTGACATCGTCCTTCTTCATCCATAGAAGGGAAGTAATTTGCAGAAGGTACAAAATGTGAAGATTGTATAAGGAAAATTTCAAGAATGTTTTTGGAATACTCTGCAAAAGTGGTTTAGGGGGAAACTAAGAGCAGATGAGGGGAGATC